ACAGGAAGAGGCAGTAGCTTTTCCTACAGCCCAGGAAAAGTTTTACGTGAAGAAAAATGGAGGAGAAAAAGCAGAGGACCTGACCACTCCGACATCACCTGCATTCCAGCAGAGCAACTGTTTATACAGGATCTCACCTCTTCAGCACATAGTGGGGGACGAGCTCTGGAGCACAGAATCACCCTGGCATCCTTTTGGCAGCTGATAAAGTCAAACAGATGCAGACTCCCAAGTGCTTACAACCCAGCACTACATGGGTTCAGCAGCTCTTTTTGCAGAGGCAATAATAATGGCCCAGAGCGTAGGCAATCACGAGGCAGTCCATGAGCGTCCATGGGACTGCTCATCCCCCATCTCACTATGGACCCAAGATGCTGGCCTGTAGTCCTAGTCAACAGCTCAGCACCTTCAGCATTTACTGAAGTGCAGTACCTGTCTCAGCCACAGTTACAGCCCTATGCTGTGCCTGGTCATTTTCAGCCCTCCCAGAAAGCTTCCAGCCTGGTGGTGCCCTGTACTTACAAAAGCAGGTGGAACATGGTGGCTAACAGACTGGCTTCTCTGACTTACTCCTCCCTGTGCCCCATGCATCCAGCTTTTGAACTCTCTACCTCCCAGCTGCTTCCTGCAGGTGTAACCAGCAGGAAAAGCTTCCTGCTGCACCTGCATGTGCAGTCAACAGAAAAATTAGACTTTGCAGTTACCAGCTAACCAGGCCCTTGGGTCTTTTTCAGCAAAGACAGAACCCGTGATGGTACCACAAACCATATTTTATTATCAACCTCATCTCCATCCCCTCCTCACCCTACCATGGGTGAGGATCCCTATTCTGTCCCAGGCCCGGGCAGTGAAACCTACATGGCACTGGAAAAGAAAAAAATGCCAAGTTCATGAAAGACCAAAAAAGACTGAAAGTGAAGTAGACTAAAGAGAATAGTTAAATACAATGTAATGGATTCTAGAAAGAATCCTAGAACAGAAGAAGGGCATTAATGGGGAAACTGGTGAAATCTGAATAAAATCTGTAGTTTAATTGTAATATACTAATGTTAATTTCTACTTTTAATAGTTGTACTATGCGTTAAGATGTTAATATTAGGGGATGCTGCATGAGGGATAGACATTCTGTACTGTTTCTGCAACTTTTTTGTTAAGTTTTGTTAACTTTTTTGTTCTAATTTGAAATTAGAAATAAGTTAAAAAAAAAAGGATCGTAAGTATTAGGGATATACTTGGGAATAAAAGACACAAGTACAAGTTTTGCCTCTTTGGAATTTAGAGAAGCATAGGGAGGCGGATAGTTGGAATGATCAGATTATTAAAGTGAAGTGCAGAAACTATGGAGTACTTAGTAATTTTTAAAAGGGTACCTATTTGCACATTAGGTGAAATGTTGGTTGCTTGATGTGAGGAGTGTTCTGTGTATGTGGTAATTTGTAATTGAATGTTTTTTCATTAATCTTACATATTTTTTAAGTTTATTATTTTAGCAGTATGCACCCATTGTGAAGCTTGAATCCACAACCCTGAGGTCAAGACTTGTATGTTCTTCTGACTGAGCCAGCCAGTCACCCCTCATTAATTTTATTTAATGTGCTGGAGTATATCAGATTCAATTTGAAATTCAGATAGCTGTGTACTATCAGCAAGAGTAATTCAACATGTGATGATCTTATGGGTATTCTTGATACTTAGCTGTATTGTAGCAGATACAGGCAGTGATAAATCTGTTAACAATCTTAACCCTATGTCTGCCAACTAGAAAGGCTTTTTTTTATATTTTGACTAGGAAGTTTCTTTTGAAATTAACTGTAAGAATCTTGATTTAAGAAATGTGAACAGGGGTGCCTAGGTAACTCAGTCCAACTCTTGGTTTCGGCTCAGGTTATGATCCCAGGGTCTAGATGGGGCTCCATGCTGGGTGGGGGCATGCTTGAGGTATCCTCTCTCTCTCCTTCCCTTCCTCCCTGCCCCCCTCCCCATCTCTTGTGTGCCCTTAAAATAATTCTTAAAACAAACAAACAAACAAAAAAACAAAAAGAGGGGCGCCTGGGTGGCTCAGTCGTTAAGCATCTGACTTCGCCTCAGGTCATGATCTTGCGATCTGTGGGTTCGAACCCCACATCGGGCTCTGTGCTGACAGCTCAGAGCCTGGAGCCTGCTTCGGATTCTGTGTCTCCCTCTGTCTCTGCTCCTCCTTCACTTGCACTCTGTCTCTGTCTTTCAAAAATAAACATTATTAAAAAAATGAGCAAGTTGTCTGAAAATTGAGCAGTTTTGCAGCATATATAAAGGAAAGGGGACAATGTGTCTTGGAACTTTCACTAATAATTGTCAAAAATCTTCTGTACTTTCAAGGGAAAGCAAATAAAATTATGGCACTTAAACTGAAGAAATACATCTGACTGAGGTTCCTACCATACAAGACAGCCTTAATTATTAATAAGCCAGATAATTTGGACTCTGCTTTTTTGTTTCACTTTAGTTAGAAGATTGACAGAATGGCATAAGAAAGTATGTTTTGAGAGAAATTAAATAATTTATCCAGGGTATACAATTTTCTGGTTTCCTTTTCGTGCTACAAATAAATTATTAAGTTTCTCATGGGTCACTTAATTCTTCAGAGACCGTGGCAGTGAAGAAGGAAGACTAGGACAAGGTGTTGATGAGCTTATTCAGACTGTGACTTGACCACTTTAGTAGTTCATTTATTCATTTATTTCTTCATTCCTTCCCTTACCACCCTTCTGCTCACTCATCTATCCATCCACCTGTTTTCCTTTTTTATGTCATTTCAACACAAAGATCTTAACTTAGCCCTGCAACATGTGTGGAGGGCATGTGCTAATAGGAACAAAGAATAGCAGGACACTTTTATCCATTATTTATATCATCGTTTAGTTTCTAGGTCCTTTCTATTTTTCAAAGCCCTACAAAAATATGTGAGGCCTGAGAATAATTTCAAAGCCCTACAAAAATATGTGAGGCCTGAGAATAATTAGTGGGTTCAAATTAAGTTGTAAAATTGAAGTTTTATCACTTTGCATTTAAGTGTAACATGAAGGATGTTAAAATTTGCCACACCTTTTTTACTTATTAGTTCCATTTGTAAATGTAACCTAGGAAGCTATCCTTCACTTGAAGAGACATTAAATGTACATGTAAAGATACTCATTAAAGCATCTTGTGGAATAGAAAAAATTAGAAGCAAACGTATGTACAATAGGGAATATTTCTGAATATTGTCTGTATGTTCAGATTTTGGAATTACCGGTGTGGTATCAGAACTTATTTCAAAATTAAGTAGAACTTCTCGAATTTATAGACAAAGGAAAAGAAGGGAAAAATAGATGTTTAAAGTGATTATACCTTTTCACCTTATTTTTCCTCCTGGTTTATAAATCTATTTGAAATCAGGAAAACTGAATTTCAAAACATACATAGTATTAGAGTTTTTGAATAGGAAATTAAAAAAAAATTTTTTTTAATGTTTACTTATTTTTGGGAGACCGAGAGCAAGCAGGGCTGAGGTGGAGAGAAAGGAAGACTCTCCTCCAAAGCAGGCTCCAGGCTCCGAGCTGTCAGCACAGAGCCCAACACAAGGCTCACAAACTATGAAATCACGACCTGAGCTGAAGTCAGACACTTAACTGACTGAGCCACCCAAGCGCCCTATTGAATAGGAAATTTTTACCTGTACCTGCATATATTTTCAGCTATGTGAATATGAAAGTGTTTTCTTTATAGTAAAATTTATGAGTGTGTTAACGTCCAAGAAGTGGATTAACCATTTTACTTGAATACTCAATTTACAATGGAAATGTATATTGGAGACTTAGACAAAAATCTCAAAATAGTCTAGATTTTGCTTAAAATTTCTTAGAAACATTGTCTTGTTACTAACCTGTGGTCTGACACAAATTCTTCAACCAGTGGTTTTTGTGCTGTCTGTGGGATATATCATTTCTTTTGGTTCATGGACTTGTATTTAGGGGAGGAAGCATTATACAACAAACAACAGAGTATCTTGAAATTTGATTGTTACACTTAGTGTAATAAAGGTACTTAAATGAGCAATTTAGAAAGTGTGACTTAATGAGAGGACATCAGTATTATATAGTCTTCACTATTTAAATTATTTTTTATTTTTTGGGTGGAGGCATATACACTTGAATTTGCATTGACATAAAAGCCAATATAATGTGAGCCTGTTAATAACTTCAGTGTTATTTTGTAGGTTTTTTTCTTGTAATCATAAGTAATTGCTGATTTACTAGTAATTGTGCACACATATTATAGTTCAATATTTTTTTCTCTCACATGCTTAAATATACCTCTAGGACTGAGGTTGGCAAACTTTTTCTTGGAAAACGGCTAAGGACTAGACGGTAAATATTTTAGGCTTTGCAGGTCATATGGTTTCTGTCTCAACTACTCAGCACTGCTCTGACCCAGTGGTAGCTATAGACATTAAGTACATGATTGTCTTTTACAACTTGATGTACAAAAACAGATGGTAACCTGACACCTGTTCTAGAGGTTTTCTTCAGGGAGTTGATAAAATGGAGAGAGAGTTTGTTAAGGATTCCTTAGACACGGTAGATTTTTTGACTAGGCAGTTTTGTTCTTTGCAGTGGCTTAGATTGGGATTGGTTCTGAGTGCCTTTATGCCAGTGATAGATCCCACCCCTTTCTCTTTATATACAGTAAGAGACTACATGTTTGAGCTTTTGGACTCCTGATTTCTTGACCATAAGCACATAACTAACTTAGTTACATGTTGTTACTCTGTTTTTTGATTTACCCTAGGTACTTTTATTTCTTTGGGTTACTTGATTAATTAAGGTTTAGAGCAAACTAGAAGAAGGAAGGTAAATCTAGTAAGTCAATCATTATTCACAGATTTTGCATAAAGTTACTTATAAATGGTTTTGTTTTACATGAAATACAATTCCTGGTAATGGCTTACATGTTGCAATTTTTATTTAAAAATCTTTCAGACATGAGGAAGAGCACCGTCGCCGTGAGGAAGAAATGATCCGACACAGAGAACAGGAGGAACTCAGGCGACAGCAAGAGGGCTTTAAGCCAAACTATATGGAGAATGTAAGTAAAGTACTAGTTAACTAAAATTATTTTATATTGTTAGGTGCACAGTGTATATTTAATTTCTTTGGATATTGGTTTATATATTTTTTAGTCTTCCTGAATTTCTCGTGTTTATGTTAAACTAATGATTTTCTTAACTTCCTACAGGTAATAACTTAAAAGAAGTTTCTGAACATACTATTAATGTTTTATGAAAAGGATGTTAAAAATTTTCTACTTTATCTTTTTTTTAATATATGCTACTAAATTAGAACTCTTGATAAATCTATATTCTCTACTTGATTTCATCATTTACTGATATTAAAAATTCTTTGTATTAGATGATTTTAGATATTTACAAATGTAGAATAGTATATACAAAGGTACACTAGTATGTGCTTATTACCCAACGATGACAGTTATCAACACATAGCTGGTCTTTTCATCTTTAAGTATACCCACTTTCCTGAATTGTCATTATTTTTTAAATGTTTATTTATTTTGAGAAAGTGAGAGCACATGTGTGAGAGTGGGGGAGGAACAGAGAGAGAGGGGTAGAGAGGAAAGATCCCAAGCACGCTCTGCTCTATCAGCATGGAGATCTATTTTATAAAATATAAATAAAATTTATATATTTTATTTATTTTGTTTGTTTACAATTGGTTTCTTCAAATTGGCTGATAAATCTAGTGTTTTTAGTCTGTAGGTTTTCTCTTCCCCCTTTAAATTTTTATCTTTTTAAGAAACAGATCCTTGTTGTTTAGAGTATTTCACATCCTATATTTTGTTGAATTTATCCTTGCAGTGATGTTTAACAAGTTTCTTTATCCCTGAGTTTCTCATAAACAGGAGTTCCAAAGGTTTGGTCTAATTCAGGTTTTTGTTTTGGGTAGGCAAAATGGTGGGGCAAACACGAATACTTCAGATATGTTATAATGCACATGTTCTTATTGTTAACTAACAGTCTTATTCTTCACCTTTAGATGAATGCCATTTTAACAGTCATTATTCTGAAAAATATTTACTAGTGTTTTTTTCTCTAGCTGTTCAAAAGCCATGATTCCTTAATATTATTAAGTCATGACTCTCTTTGCTGGCCTTCTCTGTCCCCGTTCTTCTGTCCCTAGAAAAATTTTAAACTTTTTTCATTAAGAAGGATACGCACAGAAAAAAATACATCCTAACTTGTGTAACAACAAGAAATTTTTATCTTAGCTTGCATCAAGTCAATAACTTTGACTAAAAATTACGTGGCATTTAAATTCAGTTAGGAAAGTTTCTTATTATTTATAAATCATACTAAAGGTTTAATTGATACCTAAATTCCATTACCGAATTAGTTGAGCGTTTTAAGCATTATAAATTTTCTTTTGAGTAATTTCTAGCATTATTTTGCAATTCTCTTTTTCCTCCTTGGATACATAGTATTTGCTTATGATATATTTTAACCTGTGGTATTTGGTCTTTTGGTTGTTACATGTGAATGTAAATCTGTTGGATTTATCAATGCGAGGATATTTTATGATGTCATGAGAGTATGTGGAATTAAAATTTTGCAGGCCCGTGCTCGCTTTGGCAGCACATACACTAAAATTTTGCAGGTCCATGTTTTGGAAACTAGTGATTACATGTTTTTATTTTCAAATATTATCAAGATGTAAACAACCTATGATAACATTTCTTAGGGGAACTATTTTGTAACATTTAGGATTAGGAAATTCTTCCTTGTCCCTTTATGTACCTGAACATTTCTTTTCCTAAAGTGCTTGCTTATGGTTAAAGATGGCGGAATTCTCTTTCTTACTATTCTTCTGGCATAAACTTTAAATTCTTGGAACACACGTGTAGCTATTTGTAATAACGTCATATAAATCATTTAGGTGACTTAGGAAAAAAGTAAAATGCGTTCTGCTGTTTAAGTTGGCTATATCATAAACTTGATTGCAGACTCTTTGAAATTATTTCACAATTTTTAAAATACCACTTTTTAATATATGTTCAGTGGCATTTAATATAGGTATAATTAATGAAGGGCAGATTTTAATTTTCTCTATTAAAAAATTATTTGGAAATGTTGCTGCAATTTAAAATTGGAATATGTAGATTCTTTAATTTGAAAACATTTGTTATGTTTAAAATTCATTTTAATGGTGGGTAAAATTTTACAAATATCCAGTGAACTTTGAGAAGAAACGTATTTAAAATACTCATGATGGATTTTTTGGCATTTCAAAAATATATTATTGTTTCACAGGATTATGCTCTTAGAAAATGTAGATGATGATCTATTTTAACATTATGATATCTTTGTTTTCAAGTAGTTACTTAAAGTATATATTGCATATTTGAAGCATCATGAGATTAATTTGGCTAGAGTAGAAGTCAGCAAACTATAGCCTGGGACCACTGCCTAGTTTCATACCACTCTGCCACCGAGCTAAGAACGGTGTTTACATTTTAAAGAGTTGGTGGATAAGAAAAATAAAAGAATGTTAGAAAGTATTTGTGACTCACAAAACCTAAGATATTTACTCTTTCACCCTGTACAGAAAATGTTTGCTAAACCCTGGGCTGGAGAGCTGGTGCTGGGTTTTTTTGTTTGTTTTTTGTTTCTGTTTTTAATTAATATTCTTGTTAGAGCACAGCATTACTAGATTCTTAATTTTCTGAAGAGAAACTGTATTTAAAATAGTATGTAACAATGGAATTAAATATTTAGGGGAAAATATAGTCTCCGTCGGATTTTTAGATTTTTTTTTGAGACTAGAAATTATAGATAGACAAGTTTTTCATCATTTTGGTATCAGTTTTATTTGGTTCCTAGCTTCATAATGCTTGTTAATATAAGCTAATGAAACACTAAAGAAATGTTAACAAAAGCTCTTTATTGGTCTTGACTATTCTTTGTTAATAGAGAAAACATTGAATTGTATCAGTTATTCATTTACTTTGAAAACTGTCTTTGGGAAAAATTTTTCAATTAATGTTTGTTTTTGTTTTTAAAAGCTTTGAAATTAGGCCCTCTTATGTGCTTTCTCTTTTTTCACTGTTCAGTTTAAAGGGAGGAATCAAATGGTAAGTGTTCAGCTTGCCCAAGTAGTAAGAGTGAAGTATAAAGTAGATTTACTTGGTTTAAGATGCCACCACTCATTTCTTTCTAATATTCCTATTAGATATATTCCAACACAAATAATAGTATGGGTTTTAAAGTATGAAATAAAAGCTGATATTCATATTTTGTTCCTTGAATAATAATTTTTTTTTTAAGTAATAAAACAGGGAAAACACACAGTCATGTCTGGTCATGTTTTTCTTTGTTAGCCTCAACTTTATCATAATTTTATGACATACGAACATATTTTTAAGGGTTTCAAAGATATGTCAGAACTTCGTCAACTAGTGGTTGCCATTTTAATTTCATACCTTATTTCTTAGAAGTCAAGCTCTTTGATAATAGCTCTGGTAATCATAAACATGTTACTTTTCATTTCTATAGCATAATATATTTTTGGCTACCATAACAATGTATATATTTTTGTGCTGTGCCCTACACTTAGGCTTATCTTTATTATAGTTGAGTGTATTTGAACCATTTTCTAGATAGTACTTACTAGGTTGAGATTTTCTACTCACACAATTTAATAGCTTTTGAGGTTACTCCACTTACTATAGATTAAGTAGTTTATTTTTTATTTATTTTTATTTTTTATTTTAAAATGTTTATTTTTGAGAGAGAGAGAGAAAGTGTGAGTGGGGGGCGGGGCAGAGAGAGAGGGAGACAGAGGATCCAAAGTAGGCTCTTTGCTGACAGCAGAGAGCTTCCTGTGGGGCTGGAACTCAAGAACCTTGAGATCATGACCTGAGCTTAAGTCAGATGCTTAACTTCCTGAGCCACCCAGGTGCCCCTAGACTTAGGAGTTTAAACATTTAAATACTACAGTGTACCAGTCTTTTTCTGTGGATTCAGTTTGCCTTGGAGTAAAGTGGAGGCTTTAATTAGAATATTTTTTAATGAAGTTTCTTAGAGTAAACTTGGCTTTCTTGAGAAAATGATATTATAAAAACATGGACATGCTACTGTAGTTGTATGTAGTTGTATCAAGTAGTTATGAACTACCTTGTTTAGGTAGATTGGGGCAGTGTTTTAAGACTTTAGAAGTATTTTTTTTTATTAGAAGTTTCTTTTTGGTGTGGTAAATATTAATATTTGTGTTTTAGTGAATAAAAGAATAGCCCTTCAGATTTTTGAAATACATACATGAAGAATATTGAAGAATTTTGAAGAATTTTTATTTTTGTTTGAATAGGTGGGAATAGCCTTGGATATTTAAACATATGTACATAATAAACCTGAAAATAAATGTACATTACATGCTAAGGCAGTAATTTGATCCAGTTATGTGTCTTTTGTTAGAATTGTTCCATTGTAGCTACCTAGTATGTTAGTAGGCCAAAAGCATTAAAGAGATGTAGCCAGAGGCTAAGGGTATAAATGCCTCTTCCATGGTAGTGTTTCTCAAATAGTGCATAATAAACACTCAGGGATCTTTTTTAAAAATGTAGGTTTTTGTCTTAGGTCTTCAACCTACAAATTGAATCATTTTGTGATTCTAGTAGAATCTAATGCATTCTCCGTTGATCACAGTTTTGGCTACATTCACTAGTATTCAACCTTTGCAGCACATCTATGGAACTTAAAGAAAAATGCCTGCTTTCCAATCCACTACATATTTTTGATACAGTGGGTCTGGGTTGGAGCCATGGGATCTGCATCTTAAGAAGCTCTTCAGCTTGCTTATTTTCATTAGCAAAAATAGACTGTTAGCCATATGTTGAAATGAGACATAGTCGAAATATTGAAATAAGAATAGTAGTAGTTCAATTTTTTTTGGGACCTGGGGAGTTGAAGGGAGGGCTCAGAGTCAATCAACTTGGGGAATAGGATTCATACACTTAACAATGTAAGTAGCACAACATTCTATGTGAATAGTGTTCTGTGGGATTTTGGTGTGACAACT